CTCTCCGGGGTTTCCGTTCGATCGATTGAACAGGTAGCTAATCCCTGTTCGTTTTTGGAAGCATTTGCAAGAACTGGCGAAACCATTGCAGCTTTGACTCCTCAATCCAGAGAAGCAGCTACAGTACAGCGTTTTGTTGGGTATCTGTACTCTGGACCACGAGACGCATGAGTCCAGTGATTCAAGTCAGGAAGCGCACTTAAGCGGTCTGTACCCGGAATCACATTTTTTCAGTAATTGCTCACATGCCATGACCATAGGTGAGCAGACGCAGCTATGACTTAATCACAACGGTTAGACACAATTCATAGTATAATATGTACGTCTGTGTGTGTTGGCCAACCAAACGAACTGCCGTATAAATGGCTCGAAAGTCAGGAGGATTGGTTGAGCAGTTCATGGTACTGTCAAATCATTGGATTTTTCTTTCCTAGGGCACTAAAGGCAGCTCCTGCAATTTTTTTCTGACTAGTACCTCTTGGTTGGTTACTCTGACGATCGAGGATTTGGTTGTCGCACCGGTGGTCATACTGAAAACAGTTAAAAATAGTTTATTTATGTACAGTGCCAACGACACGTCAACTGGATGATGACCAGCAACGAGGTTTCGGCGGTATTTCATGGGTCCTCTTCATACTGGAGAGGATGATTGGCTTCGCAGCATTCCGTACATTTTGAGGCAGGAGATGAGCCTTCGATTTGTGCTGCCGGTTAAGCGGCTGTATGTAGGCAGGAGCGACAAGCCTAATTCAGTCCTCGCAGAGTCCGCGTCATTTGATAAAGTTGACGTTGTTGTAGGACTACATTATTAATGCCTCCTTGATGGAGTGCCATTCTTTGCTGATGTCGATGCACTAACTGGTGCTGGCGTGTCCTTCATGTGCTGCATGCTGCAAGAACCCAAATATATTTCTTCGCGCTGTTCCTTGACTTGGTTAAGGACGGACTTTGATTTCTCTCAGGGTGCTTCACCGGCTCCAAGCAGCATTTGAAGACAGTGACTGAACGGGCGAGTCAACGAGGCAAGGAAGGAGGTAACGAAAGATACGAAGCCTGCACGGATTGGGTGAGATTTGTGACAGCCGGAAAGAAACAAGTTGACCGGTAGCACGGGCCTGAAGCTCGTCCACTGGCGGCAAAGGGCAAAGATGACATCGAAGGCCCGCCAGCTCCTTTAGCTTGAAGAACGCTCATAATAAGTCAGCCATAATGTTGGCACTGCTCACGTGACTGTGTATAAACAAACGTGTTTCGTGCTGTTTTTGGTTCATTGCTCTTTCGAACCAACGAACCTTGAAGATGTGCCATTGACAGTGTTTTTAGAAGGCGATTAAGCGACGCTGATGCGTTGCCAGTAAGGTCGCACGCCGTTTCTAAGCCGTATAATAGGATCGTTATGACGGACAACGCGAGCACTAGGACCTTCAGTCATCATGCTCTGTTGATTGATCTGATATTTGACTTTATCCGGTTACGAAGTGCCTCAAAACCCTCTTTAAGATGAGGATGTTGGCAAAGTTGACAGTCATTCGAAAGGAGTTGTCTGCAGCAAGTCGTCTCGGTGCCCAGATGCTTTTCTTTGCAATCTGTTGGAACGCACTGACTAGCACAAGGTTTTACGAGAGTCGAACAACTTAAGATTGCAAGATCAGTCTGACAAGCTGATATCACATAACTTTAGTTACGCTCAGCAGCTGAAGAAAAACCGATTCTACTTCAATTGGCTTCGGTCTAAAGATTCTCACTCAGAGGTGCTTCCAAAATTATGTTATCATTATTAAACATTTACATCGTGCTTTAAATCTGTTTACAGCTTACAAACTACGCAGTGCAGCATGGAAAACTGTGCTGAATGAAAAGAAATGAGTACATAATAGCAAAAACGGATCTGCGATGCCTTTCCAAGAACGAAGACGTCGAAACGGCGACAGACTGGATATCAGACCTTAGGATCAAAGAAATACTGGACTGGGTTCCAATAAGTAGCAAGCGGTCTTTAAGAACCGCTCCAAGCCGTTGGCAGCATCATATAAAAAATATTTATTGAAGCGGCGCGGATCTACGTTGACAAAATCTTGGAGAAGTCGAGAAGTCTTCATCGATTAGCGGATCGAAGAAAAGGAGAGCTCATAACTGTGAGACTGCCGATCTTACCGACACTTCCAGGATGGGGCCACTTCTGATGCCCATCTTTTCAAGAAGCAAACAGTATGGCGCTGATCTCCATTTTCGTGTGACCAGTGACGGATGCCTTGTTTTAAACGCAGGGTCGACGATAGCTACATGTAGGCATAGTGATATAGTCTGTTGTTTCCTTCGCACAGAGTGGTACTCACTTGTCGACCTCGAAAGGAAGAAAGTGACCACGACCGAGGATCGAACCTTATGCCTCTCGGTACTGACTTTAATGCTTTACCAACTGGACAACTTTGGTAAAACAATAGAGGATGACAAGATTGATTGATGCTGGCATCGGTCACTAATGGCTTGTCATTAAGGTTCGTAACATGCTATAAGCCGCAAAAGTTTTGACAGCTAGTTTAAAAGGGTACTGTCATAAGCAGCGATTCCTCAATCTTACCAGCAACCGTTTCTACAATGTATTCTTAGCTTATTTTTCCGGTGACATCTGTGCGGCAAATATCAGCGTTCTTCTCCCTCTGGTTTGGATATGAATTATGGCTACTCGTAACGACTAGACGAGAAGAACAACATATTTGATTTATTGCTAGACAAGGGATACATGCAATATTCGAATTCTCGTCACAGTGCCTTGTTCGCCTCAGCGGCCCCTCAGATAACCGATGTATCCTCCCGGTAGATAAACAACTGCACGGTTGTCAGGCGGTCAATTACAACAAGTCATGGGAAAGGGGATGGACATCTGGGACCATTCCGTTCATTGGCGGCTGTCGGATCGATAGCTGCGGTCTCAGATCAAGCCGCTCTATTAATAAATTCGCTGTTCAATTAAACGACGGTGATGAGTGCACGTCACAACATGACGGCCAGTAGGTACATGCGCCGACACAGAGAACAAGTGCCTTTTGAACAGGCAAGAATGGCGGCGGGAAAGATTAATTAAGAAAAAATCGAACCTGCTCTGCGTGTACAGCCTACGAGGCAAAACAAGAGGCCCTGTTGTTAATTGTATGTGTCTGCGCCGTTCTTTCGTCTGGTTTCTTTGATTTTCAGGTTAGTCCAATTTGCATACGGATAGGTTAATCTAAGTGTATGATAACAAATTATCATTTTCGAAAGTCGTAAGGCTGTTTTGAAACAGAGAGACGAGAACCAGTATGGTCAGGAAACGAGTGCCGTTGACGAGACATTCATAAGTGAGCATCTGTCTGGCTCGTTTCGAAGATGAGGTGCTCGTTGGAGACTTGTCTTCCGGCCGGCTGTAGATTAACTTTAACCGTTTTAAGACAGGTGCTTGTGTTGTCCCACTTCGGTGGCATCGGTCACTCGACCTCACCGGCTTTCGGTTTGTTTGTCACCTGACACTCGAAGGCGTTTCGTATTTGCTGTCGTCGGCATCGAGGACAAATCAGTCACACAAGAGCCGTTGTCACGCATCTCACAGCGGTCAACAGAGGCTAAAGAGTCTGAGGTCGTTGTCGGTCTGGCCGTCTGTCCGTCTGTCATTCGGCCGCCGGTTGACAGTTAATTAAATCATGGCAAATCGTGACACGAGGAAAATTTGCAGCCTCTGTGACGCATACAGGCGGCGGCTGGCGATCATCATCGTTCTCGTTGTCGTCGTGATTGTCCATCGCCAACCCGCGCCAGCCACTGAACGAGGACTGCAGCCTCGTCGAAGATTGGCCGGCAGTAATGTGTGACTCAGATTCGCAGATATCGACGATCGATTTCTCCGATGATGACCTTCTCAGACATACACCGCCCCGAGGCAACTTACTTGAAACGGTTTTGATACGACCACTGTCTCTGCCGTTGTCTTCATCATCGTTCTAGTCGCTGAACCTCCGTCATCGAAACTATAGGAAACGACGGTGTACGTTTCTCTCACTGAATCTGTAGTAGTGAGGATTACCGCTCAGACACTTAACGAGTTACGGTCACGACCTTAACGATCGAGGTAAGTAAGTCATTCGTTTTCTAAGATTTCTTATAAAAAATGCTAACGTAATTCTTATGCTAATTGCTTAGTTTATTGTCGTGTAAGGATAAGCGAAACTTAAGCAACGCAGACGCCGCAAAAAGGTCAAATTTCTGAAGCCGGATTTATTCGGCGTAAGCGCATCGCCCCGTTGCTTCTAATCGCTTAAGGGGACCATTTAAGCAGGTAACAGCTCCACGGTATTTGAGCACCTGCTGTGCATTGGGCGCGCAACTGCATCTGTTAGATGTGCTGAATAAGGTCGCGTTCTAGCATCAAATAAATCTACCATCATCCGTGGGCAACATATTGTCAAAGCGTAGCCCCAATGTTTCAGAATAGCTACCACATGGTTGCCTTCCAGTGATACCGAACATAATGCTGTCTCTGGTCATAAGCTTCAAGCACGTTTCTCTCGACTAGACGCTTCCACAAGCTGTTTTGGTCCATTGTGCCCAAGCGTATGACCTGGACATT